AAGATGGACAAATAGGATTTTGAATATTACATACGAAATAGGAACAAAAGATAGGTTTATTCTAACATCCCTTTCGATTTTCATCATTGCATATTTCTTGCTGTACAACACTAGTTTCCACTTTTCCAACACTACTAATACTACTACTACTAATACGTCACATCCATCAGCCCGAAGTCGTTCACTTCTCACATATAGGCTCGTTGCAAAAGTGACTCGAAAAATTTAACTTAACTTTCTACGTATTTATTTGATCTCGACTAACGCTCAACTATTAAACGCTCTAAATTGCTCTACATTCATATATATTTAAACAAAACAAAATCGTTGAAAACATGCAGCCTAATATTTCGGATAATTCGAAGGTACCTGGAACCATAAGCAATTCTGTTTCCATCACTCCGGCGCCGCCGCTATCGCAAACGCATCAGAATCAACTGAACGATCTAAAGGTGAGTAGGAAAATGAGAATATTCGACTTGGTGGTTGGATGTATAATGATTTATTGCAGAATGATCGCTCCGCGCCACGCGAGGATGCACAGACGCCTGCCCAGCGTCAGGCGGCGGCTAAAATGGCACTGCGCAAGCAGCTGGAAAAGACTTTGCTACAGGTGAGAAAAAGGGCTAGCTACACCAACAAAAAGAGAATTGTGCAATAATTTGTTACTATCCAACCCATAGATTCCCCCACCAAAGCCACCACCACCAGAGATGCACTTCATACCCAATCCCAGCAACACGGACTTTGTCTATCTGCTTGGACTGGAGACGGTCGTTGACTTTTTGACTGTCAACAAGAAGGCCAATGCTGTGGCAGCACCCTTCCGCTGTGCCCAGTGCAAGATTGACTTTACACCCGTCTGGAAGTGGGAGAAACAGAGTAAGCTTATCGAAATGGAACCCCTAAATGAAAGTAAAACTAACCAGAGGATTCTGCTATAGCCAACAAGGATCCTAAGGTGATTTGCGAGCAGTGCGTCACCTCGAACGTGAAGAAGGCTTTGAAGGCGGAGCACACCAATCGACTGAAACAGGCGTTTGTCAAGGCACTGCAGCAGGAGCAGGAGATCGAGCAGCGTTTGGCCAGCCAGAGCAGTCCATCGCCCGTGGACACGCATGCCCTGAACAATGTCAGCGCGTCGCTATCCGTGTCCGCCGCCAACAACTCCTCGTCGCATTCGCATCAACACCAGCAGGCCCTGCAGCGCGAGCGAGAGCGTGAGCAGCTTCAGGCGTCGCATGCCTCGGCAGCGGCGGCACTGGTCAATCTGCCACCGTCTGTCACGGTTATACCGACCAAGTGTCAGACACCAACGCCAGCACCTAGACCAACGCCGCCACCACCACAAAACCAGCCCACACCACCGCCCAGTACACCACGTTCGTCACGTGCAGCTGCCACAGCAGCAGCGGCGGCCATAGCTGCCCAGCAAGCGGGTATCCTTAGTCCAGGACCCACGGCAGCGCACCACCACGAGCCGACGTCCTCGTCGCGCTCATCACGCAATGATCGCCACGACCATCACCACCACCAGCAGCAACAACAACAACAGCAACAGCAACAACAACAGCAGCAGCAACAACAGCAGCGCGATCAGCAACGCGAGCAGCAGCAACAGCAGGCCCAGAGCTATGACAAGTACTCGGCAGCAACGCTGGCGGCGGCCGCTCATCTCAGTGCCATGGGTGGCCTGAACATCAACAGCCTGGCCAGCCTGGGCAACCTAAGCAATCTGGGTAATCTCAGCCAGCTGGGCAATCTGGCGGCTCTGGGCGGACTGGGCAACTTTGGCGCATCATCGTCAGCCTCCAGCAATCAAGCGGCGGCAATGGGCAACTCCTCGCCTGCGGCCACAGCGGCCGCCATGCAGGCTTTCCAACAGCAGCTCTTCAGAGGTAGGTTACTAGCCTTATTGCCTGATTCAACAATATCATAAATGAATTTCTTCTGCAGCATTGGGTCAGGGTCTGGGTGGCAATCCACAGCATATGATGCAGTTTGCACCGCTTTTGTACTCCTATCAGGTGGCCATGGCGCAAGCGGCCCAAGTGGCAGGTGAGTCCCAAAACCTTACCATGCTGAATGACCCTTGCTAACTTATTCTCATTCTCGGGTAGCTTTCAACAACAACAACAAAAAGAGCAGCTCGTCATCGGGCTCGTCCAAGAACTCGAGTAATGCCAACAGCATGGCGGACGTACAGCGGGCGGCGGAGCTGCAGCGTCAGTATCTGTTGGAGATGATACCGCCACAGCAGCAGAGTGGAGCCAGCGGCAGTCGCCAGAACAACTGGAAGGCCTAAGGCCTGCGAAAAAAAAACACCCAGCAAACAACAACAACAAACAACAAAAACAACTATTCTTATGGTTTTCTTGATTAGGAAATTTTATAATTTAAACAGAAAGAAGGAGAAACGAAAGCAGATGCAGAAACAACAAAAACTAATAAGAAAACATTAAATATACACGTAACTATTAATTATGCTATTTGTAAACAATAATTATCTATAATTATAAACAATTATACAAAGCAGAACAAGCAACAAAACCGATCTAAGCCCAATTGTTAGTAGTTTCCTTCATTTGTTAGCACTTTTTGTCATTGATTTACAATACAGAGCAGAGCGCAAAGCAAACGATAAGCCACGAGTAAATGTAGCAAACGATAAATGAATGATGAATGCAAAACACAACCTTTAAGCTCCTAGTAATTGAATATATATATTAAATATGAATAATAATGAATGCTAGCCGTAAGACGATTGCCCCGTTTTCTAGGGGCACACCAACCACAACCATGCCCGATCCCAACCCCCCCTTTCCCACAACAAAAGATTTTGTAATTGTTAACCTCTTTTGGTATTGTAAAACACGCAAAAGGGCATAAGAAGTCCCAGAAACCGAATTGGTAGATAGAGAGACAGATGATCAACCATTTTGCCGTACAACATTTTTAGTTTTTACCATCGTGACTAAATCTATAAATATATAAATTATATTTTTTAATCAATTTTAAGCGTATGACTAGTAATTAGTTGTAAACAAATTTTTTAGGGTATAATAAATTACAGAAAACAAATTACACCAATTCTTGCATTGCCAGTCTACCAGCATCTACATCAATCAATCATATATCATAAACAGTTCCGACTAAGTCCTTATACCATGCCTTATCCATGTTACAGCTCCAGTTTGAATTTAGTACTGTTATTTAATTGAAGCAGAACCCGAACCCGAACCGCCCCATGATTAATTCAGAACACTCTTAGGAAAGCTCTTTCTACTTCAAAATACATCGAAAACTAAAAGCTAATCCTTATAATATTGTAAATATATCAACACATGAAATATCTTCGGTAAGCCGAAATTTATATACTCTTCCCATTAGACAAGAACAAGAACAAAACAGAACAGAACGATTTCATAAGAACACCTCTTCCCCTCTCCAATGGGAAGGGAAAGTAAACATGATTATAATACCGACTGAATATTAGCATATATACACTGTACTGTAGGAATCTAGACAGAAGCAGAGGCAGAAGCAGAGGCTTGCGCATACATAAATCTCTATAGATACGATATACATACATACATACATATATATATATAGGTATATATATTTTTGATTTGTCGAACAGAAGAACTGGGAACGGATCAGTTTGTAGAGGAGGTTTTCATTCAGGCGAACCATTCGGAAAAACAAACCAAACTCACTTTGGGCATGCGAAATCAAAATGTGATCAAAAAAATATAAAATTACAACAGAAACAAAAAAAAAACAAAAAGCAAAGCAACAACAAAAAGAAAATTAACCAATTAAAATTCGTAATTATTTTAAGCAAAACTAAGAACTAAACAAGGCATTGTCATTCAGTCGATTCAGTGTGTATGTGTGTTTGAAATTCTATGCTAAAAATGTAAAACAGTATAAGAAAATATAACAGTTTTTAAACCAACAACGGTTTGTACGTTTTTTGTACTATTTTATTCGCTATTTTACATGGAGAAAGCTGAATCCCGCTTCTCGCTATTTCATTGAAAAAATCAATTTCTGACGGGAAAAAGCTAATTTGTCAACACTGGTACGCAGAACTTACCGTGTAGTTACCATGTAAAAAATAAAGATTTTTGTTGAGCTTTTTGGATTAAAACTTATTTTATAGATAATCCAACAAATGGGAGTCCTTAAAATAAGACAGATTGTAGAAAATTGATTCATCTATCTGATAAAATTATTTATCTAGAGCTGAGAGGGCTAACTAGCTTGTAGAATTAAATGGAATATCAAATTTGGGGAATGTGCCAGTTTTCACTGGCATTTAGCGAAAAAAATACCGAAATTGTTCGGTAATGTAATGTATTTATAAAACACAAAAAATATGCATTAATAGGAAACAAACATCTCAATCTAAGAAAGGTGCATTATTAATGTTTCAAAGGAGCTTGGAACAACAAATTTAACAGTAATTAAAGGAAATAGGGTATGCAAATGTACATACGTATAGCTGAAACCTGGTTGACCAGCAACAATGACGTCACATTTAGTCAACATTTACGTCTTATGCTTTAGCCCTTTTTGTTTGAACCTTTTTATATAAACAATCTAATAAAAAAGAGTTCTGAAAACTAGCCAATCTTGTAGAAAATTGATGTAGCTATCGGATAAAATTATTTTTTTACGGCTAAGAGGTTAGCCCTCTTAGCTAGCTAGTAATATTAGCCTGAATATCAAAATCATGGAATACGATTTCAATCAATAAAATAGAACGTTATCCCATTGTCGACCATGGGGGTATTTATTATATTTCTACGAAATTTATGTAACTTTAACATATTTTACACATTACAGGTGAAAGATACTGGTAGTCATTTATGTTTTGTAAGTAAAGAGGAGGATGAGGCAACAAGGAGCCTTCACAAACAGTATTATTTTCCGCGGCTTAACAAAGGGTGTTCAACATTTTAAATATAGGGGTGTTAAGTGGGTTAAGTCTCGTTTGATCGCCGGATTGCCCTGGTTTTTCTGCCCTGGCTCGCGTTTCTTGTTAATTTTAGCCAAAAAAACAGCTTTTTTGGGCCTATTTCGTTTTGCTGCCAATAAAAGACGACAACATGATTAGCTTTCTGTTCATTCTAAATCGCGCACTTAGCAGCAGCAGCCGCAAAATGTCGCAAGGCCCACGCCCGCTTGTACTTTGTGGCCCCTCCGGTTCCGGCAAGAGCACGCTGCTGAAACTTTTATTTGCCGAGTTCCCCAACACATTTGGCTTCAGCGTCTCCCACACCACGCGCAGGCCGCGTGAGGGCGAGGAGGATGGTGTGCACTATTATTTCGTGGAGAGAGCCGACATGGAGCAGGCCATCGCCAGTGATGAGTTCATTGAGACGGCCGAGTTCACTGGGAATCTGTATGGGACCAGCAAGGCGGCCGTACGCGAGATCCAGAAGCAGGGACGCGTCTGCATACTGGACATTGAGCAGAAGGGAGTGGAGCAGATTCGGAAAACCGATCTCAATCCCATACTGATCTTCAACAATCCCCCAACGATCCAAGAGCTGGAGCGTCGACTGCGTCTACGTGGCTCCGAAACTGAGGAGACGTTGCGCAAGCGAGTCAACGCCGCCGAGGTGGAGATCAGCTACGGCCTGACGCCAGGAAACTTCCACAAGATCATCAACAATGTGGACATTGAAGTGGCCTACAGGGAGTTTCGCGATTTCGTTGTCCAGGAGCTGAAGCAGCAGGAGGAAGATGGCATCAGCATTAGCCTCAATTAATTGACTTTACTTGACTTATCCCTCGGGTGCAACGATATTACTGGACATTTACTCATGGCATTTCTACTTAAGCGTCCAATCTTATTTATTATCCTCGTGTACCCCACACACACACACACTGCTTTGTTGTGCAATTAGTTGTTGTATTTTTTAAGCTGAAAGTTGTTGCGGTGCTTCACGCTCTGGCACTTGGAGCCAATTAAAACGGAATCAATAAAGCAAACAGCTTTTGGTTTTGTATTCACACGAACGTTCTATTTACAAGTCTACGCGTACAACAGAGCCAAAGCGGAGCCGGGGTAGCATTGTGGAAGGTCAAAGAGTTATCAGCAGTCTTCCACGAACAGTTCAGTTGATGGTCCATTGAACGGAGGGAGAGCACGCCAACTGGTCATTCCATAAGGTGGCTTGCGCCGTCTGGGCAGCCTAAGTGAAGACGACACGCACACCCAAACGCCAATCTTGCTCCGAACCTTGGCACAGGACACAGACATGTACATGGATTACGAGGGATACGCATTGGTTTTATAGTCATGATGCAGATGGACGCGTGCCGTGTAGCTCGTTTTACCCGTACCAGATTGCATTGCATTGTGACGATGTACAACCCGTGCGGATCCATCGACCTTGGTGCGGCTGTCGGCACTGCTCCAGAGTCCGGCTATCGCCTCCAAGGCCAGCTCCGTCTCGGCATCCTTGTCGTCATGATCCGCCGACAACGTCAAGTCGATCTGACGCCTCTGGCGCGGAGCGGGAGCCGCCGCCACGAGCCCTGTGAACACGATGAGCAGCAGCAAAAGGTAGTGAAGTGCACGCATGCTGAAAGCAAACTGAGAGCCGAGACCCGCTGATTGGGATGTATTCTCAATCAAAGCTCAAAGATGTTCTGGTTGAAATATGTCACTGGATGGCTGGCTTATCAGACAGATCCACAATCAACATATTTATTGCGGTTTACAATTCAATTGGCTTCGAACGATGTCATTGCTAGCGGCACTCCAAACTAGAATAATTATTACTATATAATGGGATAGAGGCAGCCTAAACTTTGGGCTCCAGGATCTGGGCTGGTGGCCAGTCCCACTGTTTGGCGGGCACAGCCTGGGTCAGCTTCTCCCAGGGCTTCCAGCCGAGCATTTTGCGTGCCAGCACCAGTTCGTTCTCGGCCTGCACAATCAACTCCTCCACCTGACCGCATCCGACAGCCTTCTCCAGAGCGGCAATGTCTTTGTTCTGTAATAACCAATGGTCAGTGGAACTACGGCAGAACATTGTTAATCACAAATGAAACTTACATTGGCCACAGCATCGGCGCGCTGCTTGACCAGCTGTTCCGTGTACTTGCGGTAGCTGGCTTCCTGTGGCATCTTGCCCACTGCACGCAGAATCTTGCTATAGAGCGCGCACAGCGTGTGGTGTGGATTGGTGGACACGGCCAGGCCGGTCAGACCTGTGGACTGTAGGAAGCGATGACATAACTGGCACACAACAGCAGGATTTCATGAACCAGCTGACTTTACAGCAGTTTCCGTATGTCTAACTGGTTCCAGTTGACGGCGGCTCAAACTACTTACCGCTTTAATAATTCTGGCCATGTTTATTGAGCTAAAAAGCGACAAATTTTGTTAAATTTCTGCACAATTGGTACGAACAACAACAGCTGACGGGGCGCTGCCAACCGAATTTTAGCAGTGCTGTAAAATGTACAGAAACGATAACAATAGTTATCGCTTCGCTTTGCGATACTTTTCGCAAATAGAGCGCGACTTTTAAGAAATTCAAAACGTGTGTTGCGTTCGGGATTGGGATTCCATTTATTTATCACAATTTTGTTTATAGTATATATATCAAAATGAGGCGATTGGTGTATTTTAGCAAAGATTGTTCGTCGTGTCGGTGAGTTTTCAGCTAATAATTTTTGGGTGCTTAACCTATTATATATTCTACTTCTCTTATAGATATTATACAAAGATCTGGAGCCAAACTATGTGGTGTTCACAGCAACTGGTGCACGATCGACGATGCCAAAGGCTGATATTAATACATTGACAACCGTAACAATGAATATTCCGATGACTGTGTAATTATTGATTTTGTTTGCACGGCAAATATCTCGCTCATCCTTTATGTTGTATCTGCCATTCCAAATAAGGCCAACGCCGACGGCGATCTGCAATGTGAGACAGTCCAAAAAGAGAATTTTGTCTCAAAAATATACGCGAAAAATATGCAAATGATGTGCAATAAATACCTGGAATAAAATGCTCACTGAGATGAACACAAGACTGGGATAAAAGTATGGATGCTGCTGGTTCATTTCCAGCACGTAACGCAGCTGATTGGCATTCGCCGAGAGCAGTGCCAAATCCATCATGCCCTGTGCCAGGGTCTTCTTGTGCTGGTAGGCATTTACATCGGGTATGGGCGTCTCCACGCCATTGATGTTCACAAATTCGGGTCCACTGTAACCAGGAAACATGTAGCTCGGACGTCGTCCTCTGTTACCGCCATTGGGCACGAGCACAGTGACCCCACCGCCGCCGCCACCGCCACCGCCTGCACCTCCATTTCCCAGAAGGCCATCATCTACGCCGGGATTGCCTTTGCCATCTTTAACAAAGGGACGATCGTCGTCATCATCATCCGTTTCGGGTACTGTGCCAAGAGGTAAGCGGAAAGAAATCTTTAATGTGGATCTGGTTTCAAATTTTTAAATTCTACTTACACATTAAACGATTTAAAGTTATTTTATAGATTGCGGTTTAAAGGCGGCATTAGTCAGAAGACATTGGCAAGCAGAAAACATATATATTTTGTACATAGACATTTACATTTACATTTACAGATTAAGGCGAGTGATGGAGGTGGAAATACAAACCTGCTCGGGGTATGCGATTGTTGCGTCCATCGTTCTGGCTGCTGTGATTGTTTATGCTTTCCTATAAATACAGACAGTTTAGAGTGTTTCCTGAATACGAGTATTAAAATTTCCCATTCTATATGCCCATTGTTTACAAATGCAAAGCAGTTTTATTATGCAGTAAAGCTTCTGTTCTCCGACTGATGAATCTACAAATCAGTTATATAAATACATGTTAATGCATATGCATATGCTTATAACACTATAAATCGGGGTGGGGGACGGAGATAAGCCCGAAGGACAAACTGTACGTGTTTATTTTGTCTGTTTTTATGTAAAGAAAGAAAAAGATAACGAAAAGGGAGATAAACTTTTGGAAGAACAAACAAATGTGGTGGGTGTCTTGTGGGTGTGGCAGGAGCCATTAACCATATATTAAATTTTAATGTAATAATTTAATTAAAATTCAAATTTATGTGATGTGCAAAATCTTTCTTTATGCATCATATTTAATATGCCAGCTCCAATGATCTCACGTACATTCTGCTCCTAAATAGCAAAGAATCTCAGTTTTGGATTGCTCAGTTTCATACCAAATATTCCTTAAATATTCCATCCACACATGCCCCATATTTTTCACTTTTTTTATTGCATATAGAAATCCAAGTTCCCCAAATTCGAATCAGTTTAAGAGCACCGTGATGCAGGGGATCTATTAGAATGACTAAGCCCGGGGGCTTTTTTTCCGCTTCGCCAGTCACTTTCACAAACTTTAAAGCCTAGAGCTCCCAGGGAAGCTCCTCCTCTCCTCTGTTTGCATGCCAATTATCAGCCTTTGCTGATCATCTACCTATGCCATATTCGATTTTCAAAAGGTCTGAGGTCTGGGCAACAGAGCAAACACAATTTATATACGCTTTTTGCGGTCTAGATATTTGTTTAGCTTCCCCGAGATTAATGGCTGTCTAACTCACTTGATTTCTGCCCATCGTTGTATCATCGGACAGCGGCAGCTTATCCATTTGCAGTGTAACTTGCTCTAGGTCACTCATTCTTGGGCTTTAATTAAACGATTTTACTCAACAGCAAAGTGCACACACTCGAGAATTCCAATGCGAGCGTCTAAATGAATTTCTTTGTCTGTTTTATCCGTTAAAAGTATGCTGCGGCGATATATCTTTCGAAGATGAATCGGAATCTCCACTCTAGTATTCTTCTCTTTTCTCAGCAGTTGTTGAAAAATTCGTGCGCGTTTTCGACCGCTCAGCACGCTATTTGTGGCAGAACTGACCAACCGACCGAACGACTACGAGTATATTGAAATAAAAATTGCGCGGCCAGACTTGCTCTCGGGTCTGGGGCATGGGGGTCCACTTGTTTGGCCGGCCAGCGCCACAACTCATCGTCGGCGTTTTCCCAAACAATCAGCCCTGGGTATTTCACGTTCTCAGTCGACTCTAAAGTTACAACAAGTTTCTGTTGCTGTAAGGGGCTATCCATGTGTGGAGCTGGTAAATGGAGTAAAAAAAACTTCTCTCGGATGCATGACAAAGCTGTTTGGAGCGCGTTCTCTCTGTCTCTCTGTCTCCTTTCTCTGAAGGCTTTCTCTCTCTATGGCTCGCTCTCTTTTGATTACATGTTTCCGTACTATGGCACGCCATTTCCTCGTTCGCATTAAAAATGCATTCAAAACTCGTACATACATACATACATACATATGTCCGTCCATACGTCAGTGCATTCAGCTCGATAACCTAGAACTAGTATAGATTAATTTTTTTCCCACTGTTTGAAATGTACGTGGGTTCTTGGAAAACGCCCAATTAAGCTAGAAGGAAAATGTCACAGGGAATATTTTCAGTTCTTTCGCACCCCCGTTGACAAATTAGTCATATGGCGGGGGACAAGTAGAAAGTTTATTGCCAAGTTTGAGGACTTTCGCAGCGAAACAGGCCTCAAACTGAGGCTGGCTGTTGTTCGTGTGCTGTTCTTGAAAACCGGTTGCGATCAAGATCAAGAATGGTAGAAGAATACAAACACACCTCTCCTCTCTTCATGTTTATACACCCAGCATATTTATAGCATGTGAAGCTGTGGATCAATAACCTACTACTTACCTTAATAGAATTTCTGAATATCTTTTTGTGTTATTTTTTCTGTTTCAGATATATGCTAAAATTGCCCATTTGGTTTTAATTTAAATTTAAAAGTGTAACAGTTTCTTCGATTGCAACAACTGATGTAACGATACATCAGTAATCGATACCTTGCGTTTTTTGCAACACTGACAATAACTGTTGACAATTTCGAATGATATGATATTTTTTTTTAAGCAAGGAACTAAAATGATAATTAAAATTATAATGAAACAGTATTATTTTACGCGGCTTAACTTCAGTTGTTCAACTGTTTAAACAAGGTGGGGGGTTAAGTAAGCTATACTGTTTACGGAATATTATATACTGCGGTGCGGTGGGTTGAAGCGGTTCGGTGGGGCATCTGAACAAGAACTGCAACGGCGGTGTGAATAGATCGAGGACGATCTGGAGAATTAATTAAAGGAAATAGGGTATACAAAGTGCCATGCTCCACAAATAAGTCGTTGCTATGTAACAAACGTGTAGTTACCGTGTAGCTACCGTGTAGTTGCCACGTAAGAAAAAGACATAATTGTTGACCTTCCTTGTTTAAACCTTATTATATAGGTAATCCAACAAATAGAAGTCCTTAAAATAAGATAGATTCTAGAAAATTGATTCATCTATCTGGTAAAATGAGTTTTTTAGTAGTTAAAGTCCTAAATAGCAAGTAATATTAAATCGAATATCAGAATTGATGAAAATGATTTTCCTCGGTGTATTTGCGGTATATTTTGAAAAATTATAAGGTATATCTAGGTATATTTATGAGGGTCAGACGGTATATTTTGTTGATAAATCCGCAGTCACACTAAGAACCGCCGAACAACACACATGCAGACTGTGCCGATTTTTTAAACAAACCAAACAATGTTTATTGTTAACAAAATCTGTTGCAGCGCTGAATAAAAAACCAGAGAGAGTGCAAACCCAATCGAGTAATTTTTAAAAAGGAGCGAAACGTATTCGAAAAAGAAGTACGAACCGCGACGAGTAAAAAACCGTAAAAGAAAACCAGTTATGTATTCGCCCCAAGTTCGCGCAGTGTTTCCTTTTTGTGGAGCCAAAGCGTTGAAAAATGTATGAAAAATGTTAATGAAAGTGTCGTGAAATGCGCCCCAAAGTTGAGTTTTGAGCGCTAATTGTTGATTTGGTGGTAGCCACAAGAGCAGCCATCTCCAGCTTGGCCGGACCAGGCCCCGTTTTTAGCTAAAGTTAAAGCCGATTTTCCTGCGAATCTCTTGCCAACTTAAATGTAAGTACAAGACAAGTATACACACGGGCTAATATAATACATATATGTGTATACGAAAGTGCAGTTTTTGTGTGGGTTTTGGCATCTTCTTCGCACGAAAGGCAGGTAAAAAAGAAATAGTAAATACGACTCAAGGGCAGCTAGAAATTATGCGCAAAGGAAAATAAGAAGACACAGACAGCGACCCACATCGGAAATACAGTGTGTGGACGGACGTGCCGTGCCCACAGTCTGCCCAGGGGGTGGGTGACATTTATCTTGCTATTTTTGGCCTGTGCTAATTTTATTCGTCCGATTGTCCATTTTATAGCGCAGTTTTTTTTATGTAATTGCCGAAAATCTCAGCGTTGACCAAAAGGATTTTCGTGAGCGAAAAATCAATAAATCAGCGCCGCTGCAGCTGGAATTCCCTTCGTGCATGTGGCCTGTGTGTATGCGTGGGTTGTTTGTGGAGCCACCGCCGCCACAAGCCACCAGCCAGGCGGAATTGGGGTAGGAAGCATGCTCTCTCTTTCTCACTCTCTCCGCGTGTGTGTTTGTGTGTGCGAGCCGCATACTACAACTAAGCCGCTCACAATAAAACGTATTTTTTTTGGCGGACAACCCCCTGAGAGCTTTCCAGCGCACTGCTGCATTTTCCCCCGAAATGCAAATAAGAAAAATCAATATAAAGCTGGGAAAATAACATGCGGCGAAAGCAAGAGTCATCCAAACGCCAACAGCAAACATGGAAATATGTTATTAACCTAATTTGCATGTGTGAGAGCATCTCTCCAGCGAGCGAGCGAGGAAGAGAGAGCGTCATGGCATGACTGGATTCTAGCTAATCAATCAAATCCCACCAAATTCGACGAAAAAACTGGTACTAATGCAATAAGCCGACTGTAAGATACCCGCTAGTCAGTATAAATTAAATAATTGAACGAAAAGGCAAGCACAAACTGGTAGGTGGTGTAGTGGAAATATGTTTCTAGAACTCTACCAAATATGAGGAGAATACGATGCTAGATCCAATGCGGATTGCTCTAGCCTCTTAAAATATATCTTCAAGAACTCAGAGTTATACAGATTATTTATATACATTTTATTAAGACCTCTGCTTAAATCCAATATCCTCTGCTTGTGCCGTGCCGCGTAAAATCATCCAATATGAGTCAGAGCCACTTTGCCAAATACGAAACGCATTAATCCCAACGCTGGGCAGCTGTGTGATTCAAAATGTTTATATTTAAATGATTTGCTATACTTTGAACACTCTGGCACTCGCCGTAGTGGGAATCTCTCTTGGACTCAGTCACCCAAGCCCCTTTAAGCATTCCGTTCTGGCCAAAAGTCAAGTGGAGGGGCCGGGCATGCGTCATAATTCCATTGCAACTAAAGTCTTATCCTTATCTTGGCAGCTGCTTTGGCCAGCAGCAGCAGCAGCAGCAACAACTAGATCAGGCCATGCTCGAAGAGAGATTTACTCCCACGAACACTCTCAAGATAACAAGAGCAGTAAAATTATCGGAATTTTCATTCGACCGACCATATGATATCATAGTTGATTCGTTGATTGTTTCAGTAGAATTCTTGCTGCCCAATCTTACGCCCACTTCCGTAGTTTTTGCCATTTATTTCGGGGAAATTGTGTGTGAAAAATGTGTCTATTTTTATCATTTGGCTGATTGGATGTTTCTGCCAATCGATCAAAGGGATTTTGTCGCATGCGATATTTGTTTTTGAGGCGCTTATCAAGGCGCCACAAAACGATAGATAAAACCTGTCATGCAACGGGAGATTGAATGATTAAACAGATATGTATATATGGGAAAAATACAAATGGGACCAACTTTCCACAAGCTATGGGTTACAGAAAACACACACTACTTTACACTATATATGTATGTAGTTGGGGCTGCTGTTCAACAGAGCATTAACAGTGTGATGTTAATTGGAACTGGAGCAAGTTTTTGTGGAGGTGCTGTCAAGTGGGAAACTACTACCCAGTGGGAAAGCTACTAATATTAGTAATATTTATTACACATGAGCTCATCCCTACTTATTACTGACCTAGAAATGTGCGCTTCCCGCACTCTTCTTACACACACAAACATTTATGAAATTGCCAGTTGTCAAGTCACTAAAAGCCTGTATGACATTTACTTACAAGTCTAGGTAGGAAATACATTTAAAGAGTGAAACCAAAAGACGTATTTTAGCACCTCAATCTATAATCCCTATTGTGATAAACAGCTGATTTCCAAGTAATACTGATGTAGAGAATTTCTCTTCCATTAAATGCCTCTGGCACCATTAAACCCGCAGCAGATTTTCTGGCACCACTTGCAACTTTTTCGGTCACTAGAATTCTCAGTGAATGTCATACAGATATATGTACATACTAGAGTTTACTTATTTTAATTGTGGCATACATTTTGACCATTTCGGTGTTCACACAGATATGTGGCTATAGATGCCAAAGACATGACGCCATACATATTGCGTGTCAGTGGTCGAAAGAGCAAGAGCAGAAATAAAGAGTGAGAGAGAGCAAGAGCGAGAACAGCTGACACTTGACACTGCCCGGCAGCCGCAAAAGCAAATTGCATTTACACATGTTTTACCGTTAGGGTGGCGGACCCCTCCGTGCATACATACATTCATACATATGTAAGTGTACATATGTTAATGTAAATGTGTACTGCTTCTGTGGCAGTAAGTTTTTTTTCCAATTTCAATTAGGAAAGAAAACTTTGTGCAGTCGGAGGCACAGCAGCAGCAGCAGCAACAAAAAACAAATGCAAAACATATTTTCAATTAGTTTAATCACTGGAATACTGGAAGACACTTCCAGCTGTGTGCGTGCGTGTGGGTGTGATTGTGGGTCTGTTCTGGGACTCTGTCGTATCAGCATTTCTGAAATACCCAGCTCAAAA